GCCGAGAAACTCCTGGTCGAGGGGATGGAGAAGGTCGAACAGAGTGTGCGCAAGACTGTCACTCAAGAATACGGCAAGCTGCTCAACAAACGGGACGAACAGAAAACACGGATTCTGATCCCCCGGTCCCGACTATTGTTTGGGGTCTGTGATCCTTACGGCTTGCTCAAACCGGGCGAATGTTTTCTGCGTGTGACATTGGAAGAAACCGGAACCCCATTGACCATCACTGGGGTTAACGTGCTGGTGTCGCGGAATCCCTGTCTGCATCCTGGAGACCTCCGCAAGCTCGAGGCCGTGAACTGTCCGGAACTCAGCCACCTCACAGACTGTGTGGTTTTCTCCACGGCTGGGAGACGACCGGCCGCTGACCTCATGTCCGGCGGCGACTTGGACGGCGATACATGTGGGTTTACCCTGGATCGAAGAGTTGCCCTCTTTCTTCTTTGCTAACTCAAGACAGTCTTTGTATGCTGGGATGCCGACCTGATTCCTCAGGCAATGTCAGAGCCAGCCGAGTATCCAGGAGTAAAGGAGGCGACTCGATTCGCTCCCATCAAGGCAGATGATTTGATAGCATATTTTGCGGGCTACAACAACATGTCCCTCGGACGGGTCAAGAAGGTTTACCTTGGATGGGCGCGCGCTCGGGGCCCTCGCTGCAGCCAGTGCCAGGAGCTCAATCGACTCTTCTCCCAGTGCGTCGACGGCAACCGTATCACAATCCCCGAGGCGTTGCTCGATCCTCCAGACGTTCCGCCCAATGGTGAGCCGTTCATCCTCGACGCCCTCCATGCCGCAGCACGGGAACATTGCAGCGGTGTCAAGAATACGACGAGGGCCTTTGATGCCGCGGGACACCAGAGTCTGGCGCACGCCATTCCCACCATGGGTATTGCGGATCGAGAGACCCTGGAATTCATCCTCAGCAACCCGGCGCCCTTTTCGGATTTCGAACTGGCACGGTTGACGCTGAGCTGGTGCCGGAGGAACAAGGTCCCTTTTGAAGAGTTCTGGGCGTTTTTCGACGCGTCGCAACTCACCGTCGACGAGCAGACGTGGATCCTGGCCGAGCTGCCCCAGTCGCCCCGGTATCCGTCACACTTCAAGAACGGACTGCTCCAGTCGCACATTCTCTCACGCGAGGACCTGCAGGCCTTCCGGCTCGACCTGCATTCCCTCCACTGGAAATGCGTCTTCGACTCCCAGTCCGAACCGCTGCGCAGTTTCATGGCCGTGGTCAACCGGACCTTTGCCGATTTCGCGAAAAAGCTCCTCGTGCTCCGCGTGGGCGAACGGCTGAGCGTGGCAATCTACTTTCCCCGTCCGATCGACAGGGAAGAAGACGCCGTCGTCCACGACACGGTCAGATTGTTTGCCTTTCCGCATTCCCACAGGGACAGAGTCGGACACCGACGAGGCGTGCCCACCAAGATAAACTACAGGTTCTACTATGACGAAAACGTGATGCAGCTCTACGAGAACATACGCAGAAACACGTTTGTCCACTTCGCTAGATCGGTCAACGACGACAGGACCTACCGCGATGTACGGGGTAAAAGCAACCGGGCTCGATCCCGCCAGGAGACAGTCGACCAAGGCGTCAACTGCGACTGGAGAGTGAGTATAGATCTGGGCAGGTTCAGTTCTCAACTCGTTACTCAAATCGGCCGCACGTGGAAGGAACCGGTCACTGATGCTGTAAGTGACAGGGGATCAAAAGCAAATGAGAGACCATCATTGACTTCCTGTGATAGGAACTGTATCTCATCAGCAACAAGGACGTTCGGGCACTGCGGGCTCTTGACCTCTGGCTCGAGAGCGTCGACACCCTGGACGTCCTTCCCAACTTTCCAGAAGACGAACAGCCGCCATACAAACTGCCGACACTTGATGATGTCGACTGGAGTCTCTGTAGCGACTTTGTTGTCCAGGTTGTGCGGCACAAGAGATACCCCCTGGTGCTGGAAGCAACGGGTGCTCAACTCGCGGATCTGCTAGATTTGAGCTGGAGGCACGACCTTACTGATGTCGTCTCGGAGACTTACAGCCGAATCCTGAAGCTTGAGACTGTCGACCAACGTCCAACACTTCGGTGTGGCTCAGAGACTATTCGACGCCTTGTCGAATTTCTCCACTTCAAGCCTGCAATGGCGATACACTTCTCGCGTTTATGTCCCTGGACACGATTCCCCGACCCCTGCTCGGATGCCCTTCTGCGGCAGGGCTCTACCGTTCTTGGTGCTCTTTTTCTCTGCGCAAACAGGGCTGGAGAGCTGGTGGTGAGGCACATACGGGCTGTGCTGCAAGATATATCTCTGACTCTGTCTATGACGCGCGAACTGTTGGAAACTGCCGCTATAGCGGTTGCGAGTCCGGATTTGTTGCTGACGATCCTGATGGAATGCCGAGAAGCATTTGCGGATGCTATTCAGGATCACGGCGTTGATGTCGTCGCATATTTCTTGCGGAATATGTTCGGGACTGTGCTCGACCATTGCGCCGAGGCTAGTGATAATACTGAGACCACGCCAGGCTCGTGGATGCTAAAATCAGGACCGGCGGTCCACGGACGAGTGTCCTCTGTGACGAGCCAGCGCCGTATTGATGCCCCCAGGCTGGCCAGGCTCGCAGTCGGCGACCACGTGCGATTCGTGGCAAAGACGACCGCGACGAATTCCTCTGCTGCCAAACCTGCAACGTTCGACGCTGTGGTGGAGACAGCAGCAAGTGACAACGCCATTAAATTTCGATGCCTCTCGCAACCTGACACCTTTCTCGAGAAGACGGCCTGGGACATGAAGCATTGCGGCTCCGTGGTGAGCAGTCAGTCGGCCGGGGAAGCTCTGGTGCATCTTCTTGATCACAAGGACCAGAGTTGCAGCTTCTACCATACTCTGTTCAAGAAGAACAACGTACTCGCCGAGAGCAAGAGCGAGGGCGAAGGAGCTTCATCACAGGGTTACGATCCTGTTGAGGGTCTCAATGAAAGCCAGAGCCGCGCCGTTGATGTGTCCATCAAGTCTCAGCTAACCTGTCTCTGGGGGCCTCCCGGTACAGGTAAGACATCGACTATCATCGCGCTGTTGCGGAGGCTGTTGAAGGAGCAAGAGGCAGAGAGGGTATTAGTCACAGCACCAACGCACAATGCCGTCGACAATGTGTTGCGCCAGTACGTGAAAAAGGCGCTGGATATCGATCCCAGTCTGCCACGACCAGTCCGGGTTTCTACTGAGGTAAGTGTTCTTGCAACTCTTTGAACAGACAGTTCATAACAAGTCTCTGCGCAGGTGATGAAGGTCTCGGATGATTTGAAAACCTACACTGTCGACGCAATGATCGGGAAGGATCTGAACAAGTATCAGGCTGCGAAACGCAAGGCGATACAGACGGTTTCCGCCGCTAGATTGGTATTCACAACGTGTGTGGGTGCAGCGTTAGGTCTGCTTCGGAAACAACTCTTTGACACGGTAATCATCGACGAAGCGTCTCAACAAACGGAGTCCGCATCCCTTATACCCCTGGTCAAAGGCTGTCAGCGGGCCATCTTGGTAGGGGACCACGTTCAACTTCGGGCCATCGTCAGTCCCCATGCGTCCACTCTAGATTATGATGTCTCGCTCATGGAACGCCTCTGGACAGAAGTATCAGACAATACCATTGGTCGGGTCATGTTGGATACTCAATATCGCATGTATCCAAGCCTGTGTACCTTTCCGAGTCACGAATTCTACGGGGGACGCTTATTGTCAGCCGAGTCTTGCCGCACGATTGGAATCCCGGCCTCGACACTTCCCTGGCCAAAACGAATAGTGAATGCGAAGCAGGCAGAACCTGACAAGACCAGAGCGGTGTGGATTCAGTGTAGCGATGCAGAAGACCTCGGGCGGAAATCAAAGGTCAACCACGCCCAAGCCAACATCTGCAAAGAGATTCTGAGGCTATTGACCACTGCGCCGCCAGTAGCCGGTCAAAGCAGTCCAGATCAGGGACCTAGGTCGTCACCACCGCCGCCGCCGCCTTCTATTGCGATCTTGACACCATACGCGCGCCAGGCTGAAGTGCTGAAGCAGCTTTGCCCAGGACACACGGTGTCGAGCATTGACGGGTTCCAGGGCCAGGAAGCGGACATTATCATCTTCGTCACGGTGCGATGCAACTTGCAGGGAGAGATCGGGTTCTTGAAAGACATGCGCAGGCTGAACGTCGCGGTCACCAGGCCAAGGCCGGCCTGATCATTGTCGGGGACCAGTCGACATTGACCAGGAAGAAGGAACACGAGGATGCATGTCAAGTGTGGGATCGTCTTATCAAGACGTGCTCGAAGGTGGAGCTTCCTGTTCACAAGAAGTAGGTGGGTGCATGTTCGCTTCTCTGTGTGGTGTCCATCTTGGGGGGTGGACGAACAGGCGCAGTCTTTACCTCTTACGGCGCAAGTTTTATTTCCGTCCGTAGCCAAGTTGGCACACTTTCAACCAATGAAAAGTCTTACGGAGAATTATGAACCAATAGGAGAAACTCACCCCCAGGCCGGATAGATTATTCCTCCGACTCACGCTGGAGTCTCTCCGCTTCTCATCCCTTTCAGGTTTTGACTTCAGCCTCGTCGTTGGGAAACCCTCCACCGGCCTTACATGCAGGTGCATTTCTGAGGTACCTGTGAGGATCTCTCTGAGCCTCTTCAAGCTTGCGTGTCATGAATCGCACCGTCGCTGGAACCATGTCTCCCCAGATCTCTGTGGCCTGGCGAAGCGAATACGGGAGTATCGTGTATAAAGACCACGGATGACTTTCTTACAAGTTGCTAATCATCAAGGCACCAAACGAACCCAGAACGAACATCTACCGCAATCGCATTTCGCAATAGCAAAAGAGCCGACAGCATAGCAACATCAATATTTTAACTAAGACACAAATACATCCTCAAGGAAGCCAAAGGGGAAAAAACCCAAAAAGTCACAAAAGCCACTCACAAGAATCCATTCAAGCAACTCTATCAAATGTCTTCTCCAACAGTGGCATTCTTCGGCGCTACCGGCGGCGTCACGAACGCCATCCTCGTGCACACCCTCCAGGCAGGGTACAAGGCGAGCGCGCTCGTGCGCACGCCTCAGAAGCTGCGGGACCAACTCAGCGCCCAGGGCCTATCCGCTGAGGTCATCAACAACCTGACCATCGTGCAGGGCGACGCGCTCGACGTCGCGGCTGTACGGCGCACACTCATGGCGGCGGCGTCGTCTCCCTCATCACCGAGCGGCCATCTCCCCTCGGTCGTGGTGACGGGACTGGGCGGCAGCCCCAAACTGCATTTCGACTGGCGCCACCCGTTCCAGATCGCGCAGCTCGACAACCCGACGATCTGCGCGACGGCGGCGCGGACCCTGCTCGCGGCCGTGCACGAGATCTCTGCCGAGAAGAAAGCCAGCAACACTACCACCGACAGTAACGCGACTGCGAATGATGCGGCCTCGAAACCGCTCCTGACATTCATCTCCACGACGGGCATCTCGCGCGGACCCGAGGACGTCCCCCCGCCCATCCGTTTCCTGTACCACCAGATGCTGGCCCTGCCGCACGCGGACAAGCGCAACATGGAAGACCTGTTCCGCGGCGACGCCGCGTCCGCGGACCCGGCCTTCCGCGCCCTCGTCGGCGTCAGGCCCACCCTGCTCGCTGGCGGCGCCGACTACCGCGACGGAAACGGCTTGGACAAGATCCGGTGCGGCACAGAGGCGGAGCCGGCGCTCGGGTATATCATCAAGAGAGCGGATGTTGGGCGGTGGGTTTATGAAAATGTGGTCGGGGAGGCGTTGAAGGGGAGTAAGGGAAGGTGGGAGGGCGAGATGGTCAGTTTGACTAGCTAGTTAGCTAGCTACCTATCACCGGGCCATCTAGCTGATCAGCTCGCTGGATTTTATCAGTCAAACCTAGAGAGCGAGTTGGGGACGTAGTGGCGAATGACATTTTGCACCTGTATCAACAAGGGCGGGAGTGATTTTGGGTTTTGGGGCAATAGCACTATTAGCAACATTATATAGAATAATTTTTCGTGAGAATTATTGGTCGTCAAAAAGTGCGAAAAGAATTGGTGTCATTCTCCATCATCATTCATTTCTCTATGCTCGACAGCGCTACAGAAAGCGCCGCGGGTATCGGGGTACTAGTAGTACAGAGGTATTATGCAGGGTTGCTAAACAAACAGTGGGCTCTCTCCGTCTCTGTCCAAGCCACTTTGTCGATGAAAAGCAAATCGGATAATGTTCAATCGGTTGAATGCCTTGTGCGGTCAACTCAGTAATCTCTCCTTCCTCTCTCCACCTCGGTCTGATCCATCATGCTTCGTGTTTTGTGGAATCTCTCTTTGGTGACTTCTCCTTGTCTGCTTCATGAGTCGAGAGAGTCCGTCGATCAGATCCTACTCGTTGTGTGATGTCTGTGCGTTGTTGTACGAGTCCTATGTCTTCGTGTGCGGCCACAGGTGAGGCATGAGATGACAATGTCAAAGAGGGACACGATGCCGTTGACAATGGCGGTTATGATGGAGCCAATGCCGTTGACGATGGCCATCAGCACGGAGCCAATGGTGCGGCAGATTGATTCGAACTGTATTCAGACTGTTAGTACTAGCGAAATCATGACGGGGATATGTGAGGGAGAACATACGCAGGAGACGACTGCACCCATTGTGGCGGTCTGAGAGTATTGCGTGGGTTTATTGAGACGGTGAGGATTTGTGTCTGTCTGAATGGATCGTAGTTTCTTGTGTCTGAGTGTTTGAAGAATAGGGTGATGGGCTGGCTTTTGAATGTCTTGATAAACAAGAGTGAATCGAGGATATCTAGAATATTCAGGGAGGATGAAGAAGTGGGGGTTGGGAAAAAAGAGGTCTTTGTACTTGTGTCACTTCACCATGAGGTATGGGAATCATTGCCATTGCGACTGCCATGGAGACAAATACATCACTTTGCTTTCTTCACATCCTTCGCTTAGCATGATTCTAACCTCCCTTAGACCTAGCGCTTGGACCTTTATGCACAAGGACATCAATCCCGGCCAATACGAGCAGTTGGGGAGATGAACGTCATGGAGCTATGACGTGGGGAAGTCTGTTTGCTCGAGATGCCACGGGATCAAATTAGATAGCGATGAGTTGACCATCTCACGGCTGGGCCAGTGAAAGCTAGCCTGACCTCGAAAATGCGCATCTGACGGGGTTGCCCGTTACACTAGTTCTGGGATGGGAAACCGCCATTATGCCATGGTGGGAACAAAAGGGGAAAGGATGTGCTCAAGGAAACCAGTTGACGTCTGATTTCGAGTGAGAAAACAAGGCAGACGGTGGCAGAGGGCGGCCGATGTCGACCGATAAAGAATGGCGGAGAAAGAAAGTCTTGGGCCATCGACGTCATTTGCAGATCCGTGCAGGAAGACGCCAACCAACAGGCCGCATCCCAGGAGCGCAAGTGGCACAAATGGACGTCACTGGCTGCTGGTCAGATGGATTTGTGGCGGTTGTGGCGTCCCGCATCTCGATTTCAACTCTCCAGCCACCGCTACGAGCCGCACTGTGGCGTCGGTGGCGGTGCATGCAGGAACAGCTTCCCGCCCTCAATATTCTCCGCCAATGAAAACCAATGTGCTCGAACCGCATCGAGCGAGATGCTGCAGTTGGTCAATTGGGCTGCTGAGTCGTGGTGGTGCTTATGGTCGTCCGAAGGGCACCTGGCAATCCCAGGCGTCGTGTGTCTATGCCTGATCGCGGCACTGACTATAGACATTGGACGCCGATTCCTTTCCCTCAGCAGAGAAAGCGCAGTCCGTTTTACGGTCCGCATCCCTCAGGAGTTACGGTCATGGAATTCTGAGAATGTAATAGCCGGAGATGACATACCACAGGTTGAGGCATGTACTAACCTATCGCTTGCCGGCCTGGTGCTAACCCGTCTACGCAGGTGTCTGAGGGTCGAATATACCCTCGATGTCCAGCGGATGGCCGTCGTTTAGGACCCCCCATTACTCCTGCAAACCCCTCCGCAATCGACTCTGCCGTTTCAGCTGCAGCACGAGCCCAAATCAAATGGTCACAGACTACCTTTTCAGAACGACGTCAAGTCCTTCGAACGCTGCTTCGATATGTGCTTGACCATCAGGAAGACATTGTGGCCGCGTGCTGCCTCGACTCCGGGAAGACCAAGATAGATGCCTGCTTCGGCGAAATACTTGTCACTGTCGAAAAACTACAATGGACTATCAAACATGGGGAAAGAGCTCTACGTCTGTCAAAACGACCGTCCAATCTCCTCATGTGCTACAAGTCAAACGCTGTTGTCTATGAACCTCTCGGCGTGGTAGCGGCGTGCGTGAGCTGGAACTATCCCTTCCACAATTTCATCTCCCCGGTCATTTCAGCCTTGTTTGCAGGCAATGCAATCGTGGTGAAGCCGAGCGAGCAGACATGCTGGAGCACGTTGTACTTCATCGATATCATCCAAGGCGCATTGCGAGCATGCAACCACAGTGTAGATCTCGTCCAGAATGTTATCTGTCTCCCGGAGGCTGCAGATTACCTCACCAGCCATCCAGGTATCAGCCACATTACTTTTATCGGCAGCAGAGACATCGCGCACAAGGTGTGCACATCGGCTGCTAAAGCATTGACTCCTGTCACGGTGGAGTTGGGTGGGAAAGATCCTGCCATCGTGCTTGATGATCCGAAGACCATCAGGACCATTGACGACGTGGTCTCAATCCTCATGCGTGGAGTCTTTCAATCTGCCGGTCAGAATTGCATCGGTATTGAACGCGTTATCGCCTTACCCGCAATTCACGATAAATTGCTAGCTGAGGTTCTTCCCAAGATAAAGTCGCTTCGTCTGGGCTCTGTTCTCCTGTCATCTCCCAACAACCCGCCCGACATGGGCGCCATGATCTCGTCACGCAGTTTCTCGCGTCTGGAAACCTTGATTTCTTCTGCTGTCGCTCAGGGGGCAACTCTGCACTGTGGAGGCAGACGATTCAATCACCCTGAATATCACCGCGGGACCTACTTCACGCCTACGCTCCTCAGCAACGTGACTCCTGAAATGGAGATCGCGCAAAATGAGCTCTTCGCGCCTGTCTTCTTGCTAATGAAGGCCGTGGACGTAGATGACGCGATCCGTATCGCGAACTCGACAAATTATGCTCTCGGCGCTGGAGTTTTTGGACACAACCAGCGTGATGTCCAAAAGTGCGTCAGGGGAGTCAAGGCAGGAATGGTCGCCGTCAACGACTTTGGAGCCTACTACGCGTGCTCGCTACCCTTCGGCGGTGTCAAAGGTTCCGGCTACGGACGCTTTGGGGGCGAAGAAGGCCTCCGGGCTCTCTGCAACACCAAAGCTGTCTGTGAAGACCATTGGTTAGCCCGGTCCCTGGGCATCCAGACGAGGATTCCCCCGAAACTACAGTACCCCGTTTCCAAGCATGGCTGGGACGTGTGTAAAGGAGTCGTTGGCACGGGTTATGCATTCACCTTGGGCCTGGGGGAGTGGGCCGCATCTGTGGTGATGCTTTTGGCTGCCTTGATGAGAAAAGAATAAAGTCAGCAGAGACACACCGGACAGTGGGTGGATGGGTGGGTGGGTGACACTAGCTGGACCAGAGCGAAGGTAGAGAACAAATTGAGAGAAGAGAGGATATGAAGTACTCTCATGATCCTCATAGCTTCACCTCATATACATTGTCGATCTCGATCCTCCCATGCCGCTCGCTTCATGCGTATCCTACAGAAGTAGAAATCCTCAGCTGCTCTGAGAAAACGTCAAGGTAAGTCCAACATCATGCTAGATTGGCGACTACCCGAGTACGGTATAAACACATGTAACCCAGCCCTGGATCCGACGTCTTATTTCTTCTATGTAATGTGTATAGGGTTGAAACTTTTCGACTCCGCAATTCACGACCATGATATCCCCAACATGATGGCGGCACCCACAAACATTGCTGCGAACTGGAGAGCCGTCTTTTTCAACTCGGCGGCTTTGTTGGGACCGGTCTCCAACAGCTCAGGAATGACGGCCACGGTGCCTACGTACAGGAACGTGCCCGCGGTGAAAGGGAGGAGCATGTCGCCCCACGAGAGGCTGGTGCCCCAGATGCCGCCGAATCCTCCACCTGCTCCAGCTCCGGCCGTTGCTTCGTCGGCCGCGCTGCTGGAGGAGCCGCCGTACTCTTGCACAAAAATGCCGATCAGCGTGCCCAGGAAGGCGCCCACCGCCGTGACGAACTGAGCGCCCATGGCTTTCCGCTTTGAAAACCCAGACTGGATCAGCAGCGCAAAGTCGCCCACCTCATGGGGGATCTCGTGGAAGAAAACGGCCATGGTGGTGGTCGCGCCGAGGGCCGGGCTAGCGTAAAACGAGGACGAGAGGGCTAGGCCATCGGTGATGTTGTGCGTAAAGTCGGCAATTAGGTTGAGGAGACCAGCGAGTTTTACAGAGGGATTTTGTGGCGAGGATGAAGAGACTGGGGTAAGGGCCTTGGTGTCTTTCTGGCCCTTGCGTTGTCTCACATCGCCATCTGCTGCTTTCCCTTTCTTTGCGGACGTAGTTGTGGCTGAGCCATTGGTGGCATTCTCGTGCTTCTCGTCGTGAGAATGGGAGTGTGAGTGCGAGTGGCCGCCGTCCCCTCCGGTCGCAATGCGCAGGGCTTTATCCATAGCCATGAATGTGACCAGTCCAACTATAATTCCGACTCCCAGGAGCAGATTGCGGTTCGGTTCGACCATGACGAACTTGACTTGGTCATGTTCGTCCTCGCCCAAAAATATCTCAGGGAGCAAATGAAAGAGCGTGTCTCCCAGAAGACCTCCGACTGCAAAGGCAACCATGATACTGAGCGACGACGGGTCGATATTGGGGGGACATAGTGCGAGCAGGAAGTTCGGAGGGCCCGAGATGTAAGCTGTTGCGAGGAGGGCGTTGATCGCAGGTGAGGACGAGGGAAAAAGGACAGCGAAGAGCTGGGTCGTCAACGAGGCATGTGTAGGATTACTTCTAGCCTTTGCCTCTGACAGTGTTTGCACAAAGGCACATTGCTGGCACTCAAAGCCTCAGCGCTGATCTATGCGGTCAGAGATTTGGTCTTGCGCACCTGGACGTTCTCCTCGATTTCATCCCTTGTCAGCAGGCTGGTGTCCTTGCCTTGGACAGTCTCCGCACAGACCGAGACTACCAGACCGAGAAATAGTGCGTAGATAGTGTATTTGATCATCCTTGAGGGTCTGAAACGTAGAGTAGCCATTGTTTCTGCCTCCAGACTGTAAGATGAAACGGCACGCGACTACGCAGGTATTGACGAGGGACCATTGGTAAAAGTGCAGTGAGCTCACCCGCATCAGGGGTCAGGATGACGCCGCCCTGTCCTCAACCGCAGCACGCGCGAGCCACGCACTGCGCTCCAACTGTGTCCTTAGGCAGGTGCGACAGGTAGACAGGCTTGACAGGCTATCTGCGGTCTTCCTTGTTCGTTCCTTTGAGCTAACACATAGCCCTGGATCTACAGGAGATCTGCCAATGACTTCATGTACCTAGAGCTTTGACTTCCTCTATCTCCGTCTGGAGAGGGACAGAGCAAGGCAAGATGGAATCCCTTTCGCACTCATAGACGGACGCGTCCACCACTAACGACATTGCTTCTGCCTAATATCTTTTCAAGTCCGGCTACGCAAGCATTGACAGTATCAATGCTCAAGAGGACAGGGTTACTGATGAGTTGTGCACGACGAGGTTTTAAAGCGGCAGCTTCTGGATGTGCCAAAATAAGAAATTCAGGGGTTTGACCAGGCGTTATCGATAACGGCAAATCCTCGGCTAAAAAAGCAACATTTTTGGTACAAACTGCGGAATTTCTGTTCACTGGTGTGCTACTGCCAATAATTCCTCTGGAACGGACAGACACTCCATCGTTGTATCTGAAGTTGTGAGGAATCCCTATCATAATGGGTCGCGAACGACAGAAAAAGAAAAACAGGTCTTCCATCCCGAAAGCAAGGCCAAAGGATGGAAGGACAAAAGCCGGTAAGAAGAGGGTGAATTTTCTGGGGAATGAGACCATTGCAAAGAGTTGGTACGTCTGCAGCTTCACGACATCTACAGATTGTCCACGGCTAACGTCTTCCACAGGGATCGAAAACTTACCTTATCGCAAAACTATAAGCGACTGGGCCTGTCTTCCAGACTGAGTGCTGTGACAGGCGGGACCGAAAAGAAGGCAGCCAAGGACACAACCGACTCAGAAGAGGTGAAAAGAGATTCGCTTGCCATCGCCGGACCGCTGGCCGTCAACTTGACCCCGCAAGAAGTCCAAGTTGAGAGAGACCCGGAGACAGGCCGTATACTCAGGATCATCCGATCAGAGACAGCGAATGACAATCCGCTGAACGACCCTTTAAACGACATTATGGATGTGGAAGATGAACAACCGAGGCCACAGCCTGCAAGTGGCATCGTCGCAGAGCTGGAAGCGCAGGCGGCAGAGGAGGCGGAGTTGCTGGCAAAGAAGAAACGGCCACGACAACAGAGCCATCGGGAAGAAGAATGGATCGCTAAACTAGTGGAGAAGCATGGCGACGATATTAAAGCCATGGTCAGAGACCGAAAGCTCAATCCGATGCAACAGAGCGAAGGCGATCTTGCTCGCAGAATCAAGAAGTGGAAGGCAAACCACGGAGACGTCATGACATGAGACAATATCTTAGCGAATAGTCGTCCAATATGCCGAATCTTCGAAACTAGACATCGCCCCAACCAGATGCGAAAAGAAAGGACCATGCTCGAACAAATGCAACAGCACTGCGCCCGAAACATATAGGCTTTGCCACGCAGGAAGAAATGCTCCAGGAAATTGACTTGGATATCTGCCGTATACACACCAGAGCTCACAAAGATACACCCGACAAGTAAGATTTGCTTACAGAAAGATCGCAGGCTTAGTAGGGCCTAGGAGGGTGCTTGTGCGAGGACTATCCATCCACATACAAGGCTTCGATTACCGAACGAGCGGCCATTACGATCGAGTGTGACCTTGGAAGATAGAAGCACCACCACTGTTCCTCCACAATCTCGCAAACCCTACTCAGCCATCCAACTCGGGAGGAATTGAGAAAGGGGCTGGTAGAGAATGGCGGTGCTATGACTTGCATCCAAAAAAACCGACGAGAAATATGGAATCACTCTCCCCGCTGCCTGCATTGGCTATTCTTGAACAAGATGCTGAGTAGACGCGGGAGGGATTTTGGACCCGATTACGTCAATCACCTTCTCCGGGGGATTCAGCAGCGGGAAGCGACGCCCAGACTTTTCGGGGCGGAGAAAATGTGGATGACGACTAGTAAGAAGATAGATACAATTGGTCGTGTCCACAGAGAACCAAGCGGCTTCCTCTGATCTGCCTCGTGCTGGTTTCCTGCATCCTCCTTTCGCGTATCTAGCTTTCATGGATCTTCATGTTTCCACTCCCTTCATTCCCGTGGGTCCCCTTTGGTGACCTTATGACAGTCAGCGCAGGTGCTCAAGCTCGCTCCCGTATATCAGCGCGATGTCCCGGCGAAGTCCTCGCCCTTCTGCAATCAACGCATCCAAAATGTTACAGGACTCCGGCTTATATCCATACCGTCAACAAAATCCAGACATAGACAAGGAGGAAGAGCGTCAGTTTGAACCACGGTTTCTGCCGCACCCATAGCGAAACCACCTGCAAAAAAGGTCCTCCCTCTACTTGGCAAAGGGTTGATAAATTGTTACAGCAGCGTGAGCATGATGTTGGCCATAATATCTTCACCCAGATCTCTCCGGTCAAACCAGCATCGCGCCATGAGTGTCGTTTCCAAGTCCATGCCGATAAAGAGTCCTTTCACCAACTCAACAGCCTCCAAGATGAATAGTCCTTGCGCCACCCCTTCCACGACAACAGCGCCTCTGATCCCAGATAAGATCTTGCCAAATCTGTACCTGTCAGAGTGAGTGAAGTCTGCCCCATTCATTATGTGCGCAGGCTTTGTCTGACCCTTGTCGGACAGCATTCACACTGCTGCCGCAGTCCTCAGCCCCAACTACAATGCACCAAATCGGCCAAGAATCAAATATGTCCTCTCCGTCATCGAGAATCCGGACAAGCAGCCCAAAGTGCCCCCTGGCCGTGAGGCAGACTTCGTTCTCAAGTTGATCAGTCTCCGGGATAACGTCAACGTTGACCTGCTCCAGTTTCTGGGCGAGGCCTGTGCTTTCATCAAAGCAAGCCTCAAGAACAACGATGGCGGTGTTCTTGTCCATTGTCAGAAAGGTATATCACGATCTGTCGCAGTTGTGATTGGGTTTATTATGGAAGAAATGAACCTCGATTTCGACACGGCATTGCGATATGTTCGGTGTGGTCGCTCAAAGGCGAAACCGAATCCTGGTTTCCAAACGCAGTTGGAGCTCTGGGGCCTCGTCCATTACAATATTCACGACGCCGATGGCAAAGAGAAACCAGAGTACACTTCCTGGAAAGCAGAGAATGAAGAGCAGATCAAGAAATTGGGGGTCAGATGAATGTTTTGGCTTCGGAAGGCTGGGCATGCCTCTAGCACTCAAGAAAAGCACCGTGCTGGTTTGGGGTACGTCCCCAAACTCTTGCGGGTATGCAGTAAGCCTGGTTATCCTGGCAATTGCCTGTCTTTTCTGTGTGCGAAACTACCACGACTATAGGTGGTATTGTGGCGATGGCATGGACGGTAAAGCGCTGGCGCAGGTTCATTGGGGGTGGCGCTGATTGCATATTTCGAACACAGGACATTGCGATGGCATCGATAGAGCTGACAAGAGTGGTCTGTTAGTCTCAGAGCTGTGCATAGTGGGGGTCAAAAGATGGACAGGCCAGAGACGAGCAAAATGCTTCCTGCTGAGGACAACCCTGTTTGAAGCAAAACTCATGGCCTTTCTTCCTTCCCATCCTCTATCAGGTCCTCGGACTACCAGGAAGGAAAATAGCCAATATCAATCTCGCCGATCGAGACCCTGGTTTCTCCGCCCTTGGCTTGGATGCCTGGGCGATGCTGGCGGAGCGGAAATCGTTGTGCACGTTCCGGTCTCCCCCAATCCACCCCTCCTCTCGACATCCAATGGGCGGCCACAAAACAGTTAAGCTTATTTCCCGAACCCCATCTCCAGTCTCATCTTCTTCTGCGATGCATTTCCAACTCACTTCCACCTCTGTTGCACTGTCTCTTTCTCGTTAACATCCTTTCCAACTACTCGGATACTGTCATTCTTTCCCGTCACCGGCCCGTCATCAATCTCGCACAATTGGCTTTGCAAATTGTGTCCGATTTGAGACCCTGTGGCATCGACTGGACGTCACTTTGCATTTACTCTACCGTCGAAAAGTGAGGTTCAACCACGTCTTGTTCTCGTTACTCTTTCGTTACCTTGTGACGTCGAGGGATCGTCTTCGGGGTACATATTTAAGCGTCCGACTGTCCAATACTTTGCCGACTTCCTCCTCTCAGAACTCCACACCGTCACCGGTCTGTCAGCTGAAGGACTGAGCAAGAAAGGTATGTTGCCTCTCGCAAGTTCCAATTGAGACAGGCATTTTGCTTGGTGCTGCGTCGTTGCTGTCTTCGGCAATTTGCCTTGCGTCTGTGATTGGTGTCGAACGACTTGCTGACATGGACCTTTTGCAGGACACTGCCTAAGACTTGACACAACACGCTGCCTCCCGACACTCCCCTTGGTGAGTTCCATACCCCAGCAATACCACACCATGGGAGTTGCTGTTTGCGCTCTGCAGTTTGTCTGTCGCAAGCTCCGGGCGGAACGGGTGTTAGGTCTCCGGAGACAAATAGCAAACAGAACCCTTCAGTTTGCTCCTCCAGACACTTCTAGAGTCTGGAAAGCCAAAATATATTTAACCTGCCCATGCCAATGAGCATGTTAGTTATCTGATAGTCTGACATGCACGAATATATACAGATCACAAATACCGCAAGGTACGCCAAGGGCCTTCTGAGGGCTTCTGAGAACAGTCAATTCCATGCTCTGAGGTACGCCCTTTTCTCTGACTGTGTCCCTGTCCATTGGCGAAGCTGACTTTCTTAGGGTTTGGTCGGTCTGTCTGTGAGTCTGTTCTCTCCTGTCCGTCACTTTCCCGTCAAGGCTCTTTCAACCGCTCTTCCGTGCCTATCCTTCTCCCTCACTGCCACGTGTCAGGCCGTGCAAAGTTACTGCAGTGGACCTTCCTGGCGCTGGAGCCTGGCCACAAGGACCACGTGTCCTCCGGTTGTCAGCGGAGAGAGGAGCAAGGAGGGCGGAAGACGGTGACATGACGACGACGAGCATGTGCGAGCATGTGCTCCTCGTCGCCCATCGTCTATATATATCACTCTCCTCCTCCCTCTTTCCTCCGTCTTCTTTCCTTCAGTCAATCCATCAACAACTTCTTCGCTCACATTACTTACTTCGATTTAGCCTTGACATATCAACACCCTCGACCATATCTACAGAAGCAATTTGTTTTCGACTGCTTTCCGTTTTCGCCGTTTGAACCTTTTCGCACGGTCTACTCCACGTCAGACCAACGTCACTTTGAGATTTTGTAAGTCATCTTCATTGTTCTTTCTGTCTCTGATTCCACCCGATCCTGGACAATCGATCTCCCAGCATTCGGATGGTATGGAATTGTCCGCCTCCCTTGTCCCTTTGGCGACCTGCGAAGATCGACAGCGAAGAGGTCCCAGGTTTCGAAAGGGCATTTCCTAGTATCAGTTTCAAGACGTCATTTGTCCTGCGATTTGAGACAGAGATTCAACTTGACAAATCCGCACGAGTTGGACCGACTTGCAACAGACTTCAACCATCCAGCATTTTTGGCCTCCAACAACAGGCCTTTGTTTACACCGCCGAATCTGGTCGTTGAGTTGCTTATTCAGGAAGGCGGGTCAGCGCCGAGCCTAGGCAAGGCTGAGGGTGTCTTCACCATCACAGTCAGGCCCCGCGCATATGAGCATTGACAAGTCTCCTCAGACAATCGACATGTGACAACTTCACCATAGAAGCGAGGCTGCGCCGACAACGACAAGGCTGGCTCCTCAATCGACATGTGCTCAACATCTATACAGGAGACCGTCCAGCGCCGACATGTGTCAGGAACACAGCCCCAGGTCGTTGTCGCCGATTCTTGACTTCCAACTATCCGACTTGTTTACCTCAACTTCTTCCCCCATCACATCTGACCCCTTCTTGTTCAATGACTTCGCATGAGACTGACAAGATGATTTCCTTTAGTTTTCGAATTTGTTTCAACTGCAGTTCCAGCTTCCAAAATGGTGTCAACAAGAGCACAGCAAACCAGAGGCCGCACGACTCGAGCACAAGGGTCCAGCAAAGTCAACATCACCACCCAGGTCACACAAGTCTCCACCACCGTGTCCGCTAGTGCCAGCACAGATGTCGCTATGCCAGACGTCACCATTGTCACCGCTTCCACCGCTTCTTCTGACCAGACATCGAATAGCGCTCGTCGTCTTATTGTCACTTTCAAGCTTGGTCCTCGTCTTCAGCAATTCGGGGTTACTGGCACGAATCTTGTTGTGGCTTCCAAGGTCGATATCAAGGAGAGGCCCAAGCGAAATAAATCAATCCGTCAGCAAGCTGTTTCCACTTCCCGGGGGATCAAACGCGAGTCCACTGATCAAGGTTCGTGACGTGAAGTGGTTGTTGCTTGAATCGAAGCTAACTCTCCTTAGATCTTGACACTTCGCCACCCAAGAAAAGCAAGCAGGCTCATAGGGAGGACGAGGACGAGTTTGAACCAGACCATGCAACGACACAAGCTCTGAGCATTCCTACTGCCGGTCGCGCACTTCGTGGTCGAGGAGGAGACGGCACAGTCACGGGCCGGATCAAGGCTATTCGAAAGGCAAAGGAAGACCTTCGTGGCCCTTTTATCACTCTTCAATCCAAAGGTCTAGGCATGTTCTTGAAGAAACTGAGAAAGCGCCGCCCCGCAACGCCTTACACGAACACCCAACGATTCCAGTTTGGCCACGACCATCTGTGGTACTGGACATCACCGAGCCCGTATAACATCCGCAAGGTCTACGAGATACTGGAGGAGGAAAAGCCTGCCATCAATGAGGCTGCCGCAGTGGAAGGCACACCAACCAACCCATTCCATGCAAGCGCCGGCATCTCTGTCGACTCTATCGTCCGCGTCATCTTGTCGCAGGCATGCACGAATGAGGCCGCACTAGATGCACAGCAAGCAATGCTCCTTGCATATCCTTATCGCGTCGGACACACATGGGTCGCAGGACAGAAGCCGAACTATCACGCCATGCGCGTCCAGAGTCTGACAAAGCTGGAAAAGGTACTGAAAAAGGCCGGTCTTGCCAACAAGAAGCCAAAAGCGATCAAAGACATCCTTGACATCGTCTACCAAAGAAATGTCGCGCTTCTTGATCCACTTGGGGTTGGTGAAGTCCTTTACGATGGCAACGAGAGAGGTGCCTCTGACTTCGTACCTGGCCTGCTGTCTGTCGACTATTTCTGGGACATCTACCGACAGGAGGGCAAGCAAGCTCTCCTTGATCACCTTGTGTCTCTCCCGTTGATCGGTGTCAAGTCTGCATCCTGCTTGATGTGCTTCAACATGTCATTGCCTGTCTTTGCCGTGGACACTCACGTCGCCGGAATGGCAAAGCTTCTCGGTTAGGTACCGGAATCATGTAACGACGAGATTGTCATGTGCACCCACCTTGACACTGTCTTGCCAGACAAGATCAAGCTTTCCCTCCACCAGGCTTTCTGGAACCATCGTCGGAACTGTGTGCGCTGCAGTGCACGAAACAACCCATCCAGCTGGGTCTACAACAATACCACCTGTCCACTGGAGCTCCTTGTCAAACGTCCGCAGCCAAAATCCGACGAAAACAAGCCAGCCAAGCTTCAGACCAGCCCACCGAGGCAGGTCACCAAGAAGGAGCCTAGCGACGAGGAGCGTGTCGCGCAGGGACTGGTCAAAGTCACGTACGAGATCGACGACGACTTTGATGCCGCAAGGGGTACGGGGGTGAAGAGAACGATTTGGATCCGCGATTTTAGTGCGGAGGAGTACGATCCTGTGGACGAAAAGGAATTTATTTATGAGGAAATTTCGATTGATTTCAGACAAAAGGAAGCATAGTCGGTGAGCACTAAACATATGGTGGACACAGCAGTTGAAAGCTTCGACGATATGGGGGAGTTTGAGGACTTTACGATTCTGATTTTATGGTAGCAAAACGAATCTTGAGCTGATAAAAAAAAAAATGGATGTATTCCCAAATAATATCCCTCGTGTTTGGTGATGTTTCTTGGTGGTGGACTTGTCGCTCTCACGTGATGGAGATAGTGAGATACGCGAGGCGCCTCCTTGATGCCTGTCCTGGGTGCCTCCGCCACTTGCGCAGAGGGTCACCTCCCCCTCCTATCTATCCCGTAGGTACCTACTGATGTGCCCCTCCCACATATCTCTGCCATCTCTGCCATCTCCATGAGGATGAGCATGGGAA